CCGTATTTACGCTGTGGTGATGTTCATTTATGCAACACATCTGTCTGCTGTAGGGCTTGGGTGCTGTGTATCGGATAATGCCTGTGGCAGTGTTTGGCAGCGTGTTTATCGCAGTGTTCGGTGCATTTTCTTTAATAATTTAGTCGTATGAATATATGCGCAGTATACAAAATATACGCTGTTTTGTCCATCTTTGTCCCCATTGACATGCGCGGTGTAAAAAGCAACCAATTATTATTCAATCTCTTTTGTATGGAACTATCTCTATTTTGAAATATTAACTAATCTTCGGTCTTTCTTCTTTTCATAGGGTCTGCACCCGGCCAACGCTCGCCAGATCCAAAGGCACGTGCATGACGGTTCCGATGAGATGAAGAACCGAGGATACATGCCTCACACATACTCCTACTACGGACCAGCCAACAAGTACTTTCTGAATGTAGGATACCATATAGAACACCACGATTTCTCGCAGATTCCCTGGACAAAGCTGCCCGAGCTCAAGCGTATTGCGGGTGAGAAATGGTACCCGACTGGAGCGGCACATAAGAACCGTGGCATGACTGAGTTGATCAACTTTGTTACTAATCCAGATATTTCTCTGGCCGATTTTGGCGGACATTAAGTTGTGGTAGTATTCTACGAATACATGTATATATATACACCAATACATATATATATATATGGATACCGATACGTATATATATGTATACCAATACGTTTATATATATATACCAACACGTATATATATGTATACCATTACGTATATATATGTATACCAATGCGAATATATGTATACCATTACGTATATATATGTATACCAATACAAATATATATATATGTATACCAATACATATATATATATATGTATACCAATACGTATATATATATATATATAATATATATGCATGTACATCAGAGGATGCAAAGCTCGTTGATATTGTCGATAGTGAAATTAGTACTCGGTTTCCGAGTGCGTGCTAGGGTGCTCATGCGTGTTTTTTCGGCTCTCAACCATATCCTAACCGTAAGAGAAGTAGTTGGGAATTTGTAGCTGCCGGATAGTTGGTCGAAGCATGTCGCATATCAACACTAGCATAGGTGAACATAACAGCACGGGGATGAGTGAACCTGCTGATAAGTATACTTTAGACTCTTTAGTGCATGGATACAATGCAACTGTTTTTAGAGACAAGAGACAACCCAAATAAACGGAATGCACACTGTCTGTGCATTCTGACAAACATGTTCAAGGGCTCTTTTCCTCGTCTCACAATTTTCTCGCCTTCTTAAGCCTTGAATAGCACACGCGTCACCGATTCAACTTGTTCGCATGGCAGCATATTTAATTGCATGAGTACAAGCCCCACGGATGGCCTCCTCCGTTGGGTTTCTGAAGTTTCGCACTACCGTTGTGTACATAGGAATACCACACAAAAGAGTTTGTTAATCAATCGAGATGATTCGGTTAGTTGGAAAACACATGCATGATGTTCAGGTTGAAGCATTTCGACTGGCGAAACTGAGCACTCCATGTGTCTCCATTCCTTATCGTGTTAGCAATGTGGGAATTGTTCATATGTATTCATTTATAATCAATAGGTCATACCGGCAGTGACCACGTTTCGATCACACTTTGGGATTGCTGGTTGATGACAGAAAATAGTTCAACATGGCATTGTAGGATACCAATGGTGCGCTTACATCGGACAGTTAAGGGATGGATAGATCATAGAAGGGCCCCAAAACGAGACTGACACCAAAACGTTGGATGTGTGAAAGGTACTAGGCTTTGTAGCGAAGTATATGTTCTGAACTTGTTCTTGATTAGTAGATGCTTCTGTGGTTGGCATGTAGGTTTGGACGAGCTCACAATAATGTGTTTCATATCATCTGATCAGGCTACGACTGTGTGCACCCATCAGCCAGATCCTCTAGTAGGTTGTTCACAGTGGTGCTACATGGGATTACACATAGCGTAATGTTTAGATGAGCTGGATTTCAAGATTCTCCAGCAGTGCGCGTTCTATTCACAGGCCCGTAGACAAACAGGAAACTTCGTCTGCGCTATCTTCTGTGAGATGGCTCCACACACTCTGTACTTCATGAATATCAGACCGGCCGAGGCAGATCCTTTAGGGTGTCATCGAGAAGGAATACAACACCCCAGTCATGTTCAGCAGGGAATGGCGATTACCATGCTATTGTTAGGCCACGGGTGGAACGCGTTCTATCACCGACTGCTATTGTTAGGCCACGGGTGAAACGCGTTCTATCACGGACTGCTATTGTTAGGCCACGGGTGGAGCGCGTTCTATCACTGACTGCTATTGTTAGGCCACGGCTGGAACGCGTTCTATAACCGACTGCGATTGTTAGGCCACGGCTGGAACGCGTTCTATCACCGACTGCTATTGTTAGGCCGTTGTGTCGGCAAGAGAACTATGGTAGGCAATGTCTCTGACGCATGTTCACTTCTAGTAAATGGCATCACACAGCTCCGGAGATGCGACTGGGTGGGTGCTTCGCTGTAGTCGGCCACAGATTCAGATTAGAAGAGTGCGCAGACAGGAAGAGTGCTGGGCCATGTGTGAAAATCCAAACAGTTCACAGTCTCCAACTGTTTCATAGATACCGATTGGTTCATAGTACAACCAGGTTAGAGTTTCGAAGCAGATGGGGTTCCTAGTATGTCGTGGATCGCCCAATTGTGCGAAAGACAACACCTCGCTGGAGTTGGGCTACGTGTAACACCCTTATTATAGCGAATCAGCGGGTGAGGATAGAAGCTGTATATTGGAGTGTAAAGGGTTGTCAGTAAACCGTCTGAGGGCCAAGCTGCACCTGATTGGTGGATCACAAGGCGCAAAGTGGAGCTGGATTGTTCAGTGCCAATACGCTGATGATGATGTACTCTATGCTGAAGCTGGTCATACTTCACATTGGTTGAATATATCTACTAATCTACATATTCTATAATAGATATATTTCGTTCAACGATTCGATAGTGTTGACAGTCTTATCACAAAGCTTCAGCCGTATCATATATCTTGGAGTGGTAGTATCTAGGCTGCAAATCTCCTGGTGTGATCACGGGCAATGTGGTCGTACATCGGCCTATCGTCCACAAACAAGTCTCGCATATGCGGCGTGACGGCGAACTCGGCCACCTCTGTGAAGATGTCAGGGGCAATGCAAGCACAGGGCAGTGTGTGAAGCGATGGCAAGTGACAAGCAGGAATGAGCAAGTGAGTGTGTCGTATATGTTACATACATATGACGAAAGGAGTATAGCGATACTTGGGCACATTGCAGTTATTGACAGTGTGTATATATGCTCCTTACCGGAGTTCAAACGCAGCGAAGCACTGAGGTTGCTGAGAAGATCCCTGACACTCATACTACTGCGCCAGTCACCCGTCACCCACTCCCCAGTCTCACGCACGTTGCAATGAAAGATGCGGGTCCGAAAATAAACCTGCCGAGGGTAGGACAAGAGGGCAATTGGTATTGGTACACATTTCATACTCTTTTATGTGTGCTGTGTTCTCTAGTGTGCCGTGTTTGTTGTATTTTCGTTGTATTTTTGATGTATGCAAGGGATAACATGTATATCCCGATGGCTCATTAACAGATATGTACCACACCGCGTTGGGGTTCTTTCTGATGCACTTCTCTCTCATAGTACTTAGGCACTGAGTACACAGATTTCTTCTTGTTATGAATCGACAGCATTTTTGCTTTTGTGAATTAGCGAAGGTCTTTTTTTTCTCGCATGCTGGTTCTATCGTTCTCTCATCATCAGATTGCAGCCGACTCTCGTCTAATGATAGATGACGCAGCACGATTATATTACACCCTAGATACAGAAATAACCATGATCCATTTGGACACGACTGTAAGGAGACTCAAATAAGCACTGATGCTACGAGATTAAACCACATGTGACGTTCGCGTGCCGTGCGAAATGTAGTCGCTGGAGGAGACACTTCAACAGGGCATCAGAGAGATGGGTTATAAATTGGTCACAAAGTGGTGTATATTTCACCAATAGAAGTACACATCAACATAATATGATGTGATCACTCCCTCTAAATAGTATTCTCCTCATATGAAGATATACTGTAATAGAAATACATATCAACATAATATGCTGTGATCACTCCCTCTAAATAGTATTCTCCTCTTATGAAGATATACTTTAATAGAAATCCATAACATAATATGCTGTGATCACTCCCTCTGAATAGTATTCTCCTCATATGAAGAGAAACTGTAATAGAAATACATATCATCATAATACGCTGTGATCACTCCCTCTGAATAGTATTCTCCTCACATGCAGATATACTGTAGATACTGAGAACACATGTGGCCGTAATATATCTACAATGTCCCGAATAGACTTGTTGATAAGTTTGACCACACACAATACGCAGCACATCAGTATTTGCCGGGGTATACAGCCCATATGCATACTGTGTTGAAGCTCACCGCCGTGGTTGACATCTCCAACCCACTCCGACTTTGGCACGTAGAGTAGTATGACCACCGCCTTAGTGGCGAATACCAACGTGAACATACAGGAGAATAGAAATACGCTCTACGAGCGGTTGCAGTGCAGGTGGTGAAACAATCAAAGTCCGAGATAGGATCAAAGATGACCACTCACTGAGACACTAAGGGTATGCATACGTCCATGATTTGCCCTAGTGCTATTGTCACCAAACAAGGATGAAGCGATCGTACCAAAGGAATGGTATCGACAAGAATTAGTTCTTCTGTTGGGCGGAACTGCATATGAAGCTACTACCAAATCCCTGTTGGTTTGCACGCGTAGAGGTTTCAAAAAACAATTTGATTGAGACCCACAATAAATTTTTGTTGTTGTGTGATACAATTCATCAGCAGCACACGCTGCACACAATACCTTTGGGGCGCGGAATGGGAAATCGTCAGTGAAGGTTATGTCCACGAAGAATATACCAGACGCATAGGGAGTGTGTGGGGGACCCTGCAGCACCACAGCCCACTTTAACAAGTTGTCATTCCTAGGAGAGGCACTACAGGGGATAAGGATGCAATGATAAATGGTTTAATCGCATTCAAACGTGTGAAACGCTGTCAATGTACATGCCGTGAGTGTAGGGTGCACGTTGAATCATATACATAAACACGGAGTGGTGTCAATTTATGGAGTGCCACTGCCATTAGAAAGATACGAGGTGAGCTGTGTACTCGAACAAGAGTTGGTGTAGTGGTATTCGAAGCAAGACATATGAGATGATACCCGCTCACCCGGTGCAAGGGAACTGCGTGTGACTATGAAGTGTGGGCTATACGTGCATGACCCTGCGACGCCACAACACACTCTAGAACACAGCCAAGTGTGTGTACAACCCTACATCACCACAACACACTCTAGAAGGCAGCCAAGTGTGTGAACAACACTACATCACCACAACACACTCTAGAACACAGCCAAGTGTGCGAACAACACTACATCACCACAACACACTCTAGAAGGTAGCCAAGTGTGTGAACAACACTACATCACCACAACCCACTCTAGAACACAGCCAAGTGTGCGAACAACACTACATCACCACAACACACTCTAGAACACAGCCAAGTGTGCGAACAACACTACATCACCACAACACACTCTAGAAGGCAGCCAAGTGTGCGAACAACACTACATCACCACAACACACTCTAGAAGGCAGCCAAGTGTGTGAACAACACTGCAGCGAGGCAACATACAGGGGTGTGTTCTGGACGCGGTTAGAAAACGGTACAGTAGCACGCAACACAAGAACGCCAAGGATTGGGTGTCTAACTAGTAGCGCAGACTAATCTGTCACTGTGCGTATAGTCGCATGGAGTATTAGTGACCAACTAGAAATGCATCCTCCACTATCAGGCACCATACCCGGACACGTATTGAGTGGGATGTGTATGCTGTGGTTATAGCGTCAAAGGGATTGCTTGTGTAGTGCCGACTTATCTGAAAAATGCTGATAGCATACAGAACAACAATCAATCCTACACAGCCAAGCTACCGAGAACACTGCGTCTTGTGAATAGTCAGCATAATGGCTCAAAGTACTTTCATCTTTGCTTCCATACGACAATGTTGGGAGGGGTGTAGCGAACTATGAGGAGAAGGATGATGTCTTTTACGGAGAGATTATGGGATACACAATGTATGTAGCTTATGTGTGTGTTTCTCGCCCTTGTGCAGTGAGGAGTAGCTTAATAAAACACAAGCAAGTCCTGTCACACGAGGCGAACCGCCTAGATCGTAATCGGTTGTTATAAACAGTGCTCTCTCTCTCTCCTACTATATTCTCCGAAGACGTTCACTATCACTTAACATGTACAATAGGTCTCATACACACGGATGAGGGACATTAAAGTGCATAAAAGTCGCGTTCACACCCATCAGAAACGGTTATTATAGTCGGTGCTCTCACTCTTCTACTATATGTACCCGAAAACTTTCTCCTTCATTCATGAGACACAACAGGTCTCATAGACACGGCTGAGGGTTATTAAAGGGCATAAACTTCGCGTTCACACTCATCAGAAACGTTTATTATAGTCAGTACTCTCACTCTCCTACAATATGCACCCGAAAACTTTCTCCATCACTCAAGAGGCACAACAGGTCTCATAGACACGGCTGAGGTTTAGTGAAGGGCATAAACTTCGCGTTCATACTCGTCAGTATCGATTGAAGGGAGCGGCTAAGCGCGCTCTATCTCACAGGTTGAGTTTGATTATAATTCCAATTATTTTATAAACGTTCCCAAAGTTAATGTTACGACGGGTATTGGCAACAATTGATCTACCGAAATTAAGTAATATATAATAAGTCGTCATGACGCCCATAGCACTGTTATATGCACAACAACACACACTTGTGAACCACTCAGGTAGTCTGTGTACGAAATCCCAGTAGGAAGTAGCCGGGCAACGAAACTCTTCACAACATAAACACCAAAGCGTGTATACATTCCAGCTCAGAGTACACAAAAGATTACATAGAACATACTCGCACAGATCGAGCGGCTCTCGCAACACCTCCGCCAGATCTACCCGCAGTCTGTGTGAGCACAGTTTATGACGGAGTGTAAATAGATACGCATGTTCCCAATGCACAGCACCACATCCCTCTGCGATTGGCATACATATGGCTTTATACTGCATACAGTATTATTCGTTTTATTGAATGATCGCGGGGGTCTACAGGGGGTATATAGGGGGTCTAATTCCAGTACAGTCCTTAGTAGGAACGTGACAACTACACTATAATGCGGCCACAGCACGTAGGTTGAACTGCATTTTAAGCGAGTACACTTGTGGAAACAACATGGCTTCGTTGCTACGAATTCATAAGACATATCCCACGTTAAAACAATGAGTTAGTGCGAGAGGCTCACATGGTCGATCGTAGTTGTCTTCACACGTAACTCAGGTGCCACACACGTAACGCAACTGCGTAATGCACGCACACGGAGATGTAGGACGTATATTGACAGTGGCGTGGTATACATCCAAAGGGCTATATTCAAAGCAATATACATATCAATTAAGGAGTGCATATCTTGCAGCATTAGGTTACATATACGTTCAGGGTAAATCACCCCAAGTGTTCATAGTGGTTTGAGACGACCAAGGATTCTAAACATATATATATTATAGCATGACTAAAGTCTTCCAGCACGCTCGAGTACTTGTACCTAGTCTAGATATAAGGATCAAAGTAGCCGCACCTGCTATAACATGCTGTATAGGGGTAATTCCGACGCATCTCGCTCATGACTCGAACACTACTAACTCTTCACCTATTGAGTGTGTGGCTATAAATAGTCATTTATAGCACACGCACTTTTAGAGTCCGTATAGTTGTGTGAGTAGGTGCTTGTGAGACCAATTCAGCGTGTAAGTACTTATAGTATACCCGTACTTAAAGTAAGTGTACTGCACACTTTCGTGTCGGCGGGTAAATGGATGTGGGTGTATTGGATCACTTTCATGTGTAGTGTTGAGCCGGATTCACAACGTACAGACTTTCGTGTGTGCTTGCTGGTCGACGACTTTGGGCACTTTCGTGTATAGGTACGCTACCTCGCAGACCAGATATTATAAGGGTAGGCTAGACATATTTCTCTTTGTCTTGCGTCTCCTTTAAGTATGCGTATGATCATACACACCAGTTCATTTGTGGAGGCTTGGCAACGATGTCTCTACGTTTTGTATGATATGTTGAAGTACGGATGTATACCGCAAATGTATGCCCTTCCTGAAAAGTATATTGTACATCATTCAGTAGAATTAACACTCTAAACCTTAGAGAGTGACCACTTGACTATTTCGTCATATGTTATTTTAGCGCATGTACCATTCGAGTTTATATTTGCAACCTCATTGGTTCTTTATTATGTGTCAAACTGCCCACGGAACCAGCAATTACAGAATTTGAAACGAATGTTTGTTAATTTGCGATATATTTACCTCAGATTTGGTGAAAATATTCAATAATGATAAAAATGTAAAACACTGCTGTCGGCTGTTGTAGTGTATTATAGACCTGTGTCAGTGTGTGTAGAACTGTAGACTGTATTTTTAAGTGCTGATCAACTTAAAATTCCACCGCGTTTTAAACTTTAATTATATTTACTCTCACAGATGTGAACCCCTTTGTAAACAAATACATATCACTCGCTCAACACAGTCGCACACAACACGCGATAAATCAATGGGAATTGGATCGAGCAAGAAGAACATGTCGAACGCAATGGATAACCCTCAAGTGGCAGCAGCCGTAGCCGACATCAACTCAGGCAAGGAGTCTGGGTTCGTCAAGGTCGTGTTGAAGGAAGGCAATGGTACTACTCCGCAGCCTGGAGCACAGGTTAGTTAATATAAAACAAGATGGAGCGCATTTAGAATTTATTTGTATCCAGTCATAGTTTGGGCAATAATTTGTGTTCTGAATGAAAGTATAACTATTTTTGACGACTTGAGAAGTAGTTGCACTGACTCCGTCGATATTCTAGTATATATATATATATATATATATTATATATATA